TTTTTAATTTTTCTCTTTCAAATCGCATTTTCTCTAACTCTAATTGAAACTGATATTCTGCCATTTTATAAGAGCCTAACTCTGATTTAACTGTATATTTTGGAAGATCGTTTTTTTCAAAGATGTTTTCTTCTACTAGTTTGTTTGCAACCTTAATTTTAATGTCTTGCTTTCTCTGAGAGGATTTAACATCTAACCCAAACTGCAAACCTAATGCAATCAAGTCATCCTTTTTTTAACGTATCAAAAACCTGCAGCTGAACACTCGGTGAACTAAGAAAGTCTGTGACCGAAAATACCATGTTGATTTTTGCTGGCTTATAATCAAACTAAAGGTTCAATAAACAAAATTCTGACAATAAACTGCAAAAGTGCAAGAAATTCTTTATCCCGGACGAGCCCCCAATTCTGTTATGGGTCAGAATTACCCGAAATGCCAGCAAAGATCAATAACACAATTTAAACTTAATAATAATTTATTTACAGTAATATATAATAAATATATCAAACATAAAGTAAAAACTTAGCAAGAATCTAAAAATACATACATCAGAGTGTCCGTTGCTGCACACAATGTCACAGTGAAAATATATCCCAGTTATATTTCAATAGTGCTTATACGACGAAGTATCTCTATGCATCGAATTGACAGGGTATTTATATAATAATATAAATCTAGAATATTCTAGAAATTGTTGAAACATGATATTACTGGAACAATCTGGACATACACAAAATTTAAGAATGTTCTAGATAAAATGACCAAACATGTTGACCACTCTGGAATGTTCAAGAAACTTAATGTTACTAAAATATATATGATGAAACAATACACATCTCACAACACTAGCTTATCTTGTATTTTGGTTTATTTTACCCCAATCTATACTTAAACTTGTACTTACCGACTGTCATAGGCCATGTCAACTTCATGAAATATAATCTAATTATAACACAGAATGATTTTTTTTTTCAATACACATCACACTGCAGCATGTGCATGTTCCCATTCGGCAAACCTTGGCTGATTCCGTTGCCTAAATCAGATGAAGTACGAATCGGCCGAGGTGTGCCGAGTAGTGCTTAACTTAAAATATGATAATGGGTGACGCAACCCAATGTAATGTAGAAATTTTCAAAAGGTGTTATATATAGTTCAAGAACAAAATATAAATTAATTCATAACAAACTATGTTTTAACATAACTTACATGTGTATCCTAAAAAATGTACGTTTCGTGAGAGTGTGATTGTGTGTTGTGTTTTTTTTTTTTTTTGGGGGGGGGGGGGGGGGGGAAGGGCATTATTAACTTTAAAAAGGTACCAATATGCGCAAAACATTTTTTTTAAATCTAATTCACACATAGGCTCTAAACCGGGGGGGGGGGGCAAGAGGGGCTTATAACCCCCCGCCCCAACTTTTTTTTGCAAAAATAGACTTTTCTATGTAGATAAAATTTGGTTTTACGTTTTTTTGTTGGTTTAGCCCCCCCCCCCCTTTCAGTTAGCCCATGAGCCTCTGAGTCATAGGTCTCATAGTCACAGGGTCTGAGAATGTAATACCCAATGTGACGAATACATGTACTGTATAAATTAAGAAAGTCGTAGTAACGAGATAAAAAGTCGTTATTACGAGATTAAAAGTCGTTATTAGGACTTTAGAAAGTCGTCATAACGAGATAAAAAGTCGTTATTACGAGATTAAAAGTCGTTATTACGACTTTAGAAAGTCGTAATAACGAGATAAAAAGTCGTTATTTCGACTTTAGAAAGTCGTTATTACGAGATAAAAAGTCGTTATTACGATTTTAGAAAGTCGTTATTACGATTTTAGAAAGTCGTTATAACGAGATAAAAAGTCGTTATTACGAGATAAAAAAGTCGTTATTACGACTTAATTTTTTTTATTCATTTTCTAATTTGACCCTTGTAGGCTTTCGTAACATAAAATTAAAACAGTTTTGAGAAAAAATAATTTATTCTCGGTAAGGTCAGGGTGACTTTTTTTGTGTGTGTTTTTTTTTTTTTATTTATTTATTTTTTGCATGAGTTTAGCCGAAAGAGGGGGGAGGGGTATTTAACATTTAACATTAATAAAGAAACCTGTTTTGCTTTATTTTCAAAAAGTGTTGTTCATTATAACTATGCTTAATTTAGTCATATGCAAGGTCATGGCTATAACACCCCTAATACCTTGAAAAAACGCTAGTTTCTATCGATATATTATCCATGTACAGAGGTCAATCGCAACATCTCGGGCCTTTCCGACTAGCGGAAACGACCTCGAATGTATATGGTAGCCGCTATGACAACCCTCCTTTTTCACGATCTTGGAAATAAATGCATGGAGACCTTTTATCTGTGGAATATGGAGATTGATTTTATTCAATGAAATGATATTACCTAAAGTATACCATAGAAGGGACATCTAACTCCGTCTATCCTATATTTGAATAAACAGGAAATGTATAAATTTTTAACATCCGGTGATGTTAATACATTCGAGGTTGTTTTTCCGACCTCTGACGGAAAGACCCGAGATGATGCGATTGGTACAGAGGTTAAATCGATAGCCAAAAGCTGTATGAAATACTAGCTGTAGATCTGTAGCGTTATGGTTTTATATACTTGTCTTTGACCATAACGCTACAGATCCCGTAATGCAAAAAAGGTGCAATTTACGGCGCAATATTTTTTGCGCGCTTTTGGGGAGAATTTCTCCACTTTCTAGCATTGGTTAATCAACTACCTTTCACTCCCTAATTCTAGACACATTCTGTAGCCAATATTTATGTTTTATCCACCTCCCAACCATTTATAATTGTCTCTAAAGACAATAAACTCGCTTGAAGTGAATTTTTAGCAATCTAACATATAATTTTAGTCAAGTGAGTTTATCACTTGTAGAGACGACTATAAAGGGTAGGTAGATGGATAAAATATATAGATTAGTTAAATAATGTGTCTAGAATTAGGGTGTGAAAGGTAGCTTATTGACCGATGCTGGAAAGTGGAGAAATTCTCCCAAAAGTGCGCAAAAAATATTGCGCCGTAAATTGCACTTCTTTGCATTATGGGATCTGTAGCGTTATGGCCAAAGACACGTATATAAAACCATAACGCTACAGATCTGCAGCTATATGAAATACTTGTTAACGTTGTAAATAAAATGATTATTATTTTACTTGCATATTTTGTTCATCTTTATACATGAAAAGCAAGTAGAGCAAGTCATTTTTTTTATTGATGCACCGATACATATTATTGCGCTGTGTGGTTAGGTCACGTATTGACCTCTGACCTCAGACAAACTTCATACAGAATTGAAGATATTTGTTCTCCGTATGTTTATAAAACAGAGAGATACCACAAATGTATATATTTGTTAATGATAGCCCACCTGGCCCCGGAATTGAGATCTTCGAAAATTTCGTCTATTTATACTGCCATTTAGGTTTGCAAGATAATTCGGTCCAATGCGCTTCGTGCAGAAGTAACTATGAGTATACTTGATTGAGGAGTAAGGAATTTTTGGAAATCGGCTTTTTCAATTGAGGTAAAAAATTTAGAAGAACTAAGAGCAACTTTTTGTGCGCAGTAAATATACAGTTTTTTCAATGGGTGGCACTGTAGCTCTCCGGCCTGTCAATATATTTTTTCGGAGAGCTACGAGGGGTGATCAAAAAGTTCGCGAACTATCTCTATATCTACAAAACCACAATTCATATTAGAATGAAATTCTGTAAACACATAGCCATACACAAGGTCTATAAATAGCATATGCTGAATAAAGTTTTTCTCCTTGTTTGTGACGTCACAATGTGAAAATGACGTCACTATATAGGTCACTTGTGACGAAAAATGGTTGATATATCAGAATATATTACGTCATAATCGGTGGTGATATACATGTTAAACGTTAAAATCAACAATTCTTGTGTAATTTAATTCTAAATTCTAAAATTGTTTTTTAAACATTTAATTTTAGAAATTATTATGAATAAAGTTTGTAAAGATCTTGCCATCATTCAGATATTGTGAAATTGCCCAATCCACACATTTGTTTCTCTTTAGTATGTGACGTCATAGACGTAGTGTTTGAATTCTCAGTGCAGCGAGATGAGTACACACACCTATCATAATCAGTTTTATTTCATAATAAACAGGTCAAATTCAATGTATCGTGATAAATTTCTGAAGCAGATTTTTAAAATTAATATTTTATCGTGTTTACTAACAGAGCTTCTCTCTATTTAGATAATTTTGAATGTTTATATTTTCGTGTGACGTCACAGTTGATTTCCCGCACTCGGAAAATACAAACGTGAAGCGTTTTAATCATGCTTACGTGGGTAATTCAACGATGTCCTGTGCGATATTGAGGTAAGCTTCACCCTGTGATATTTATGCAGTAAATAATTACGATGAAGGACTGACATTCAATCGTAAATTTAGAAATATTTATTGACAGAATTTTTTCCAAATGAGGACTTTGTCGTTGAAGCTACCTTGAAAAATGGAGAAATTATTCCACCCAAATACTATATAAAATTAAAACAATTGCTTTCAGATAATTTAAACACTATGAATATTTTGAAGTATTTTAGTATATAGAGTTGTCTATCATATTTATCGTTTGTGCGTAAAAATTTGCATTATGGACTCCGTTATGGGCCCATATACACGAAGTATCAAAACTCCATACAAACTCTAAACAGGGCGGTATTTGTGGGGCGATGTCTTTTAAATAAGTCAAGAAATCCCATGACAGGACCGTTTTAAAATGTTAAGTACATATTAAATTAGTAATATAAAAAATACGAAAAAAATTCATTGACAGGAATTTTTTCAGCTAAAGGTCCTGTTCCTCCTTAAGACCTCTATGCCTGTATTTTTTCTAAATGTTTTTTTTTTTCAATTTTGCATATTTAATGCATTTGCATGCATGTGGTTTGAATCAGTGAAAATAACAATTATTTAAATCATGACTATTGGGTGTACCTTGATTTCCCATCGCGTAGCAGGTCGATGCTTCAACAGGGATGGTCTTAACCACTGACGAGTAAGGTCGTACCGTAGCCTCTGAGTTGTTCTCAACATCATAGAAAACTCACTAACTGCAACAAAAAGATTGTCCAAGGGAGATAGCTCAACTGTAAAGGTTATTGGAAATGTTAAATTAAAAAGTGCTACATCTAAATTTTCTCTCATTTCAGTATTTGATTTTCAAGACATTTATTGTTGAAAATCAGTCTGAAAAAAATTCGAAAAACAATTATAGTTAGCTAATACAGACTGGAAGTAACTGTTTGTTCCTTTTTTAAACAATACACGCTAGGTAAAGAAAGAAGTTCTGACTGAACAATCTATCGAAGTGTAAATCTTTTCATGATTCGTTCTAGTCCAATCAAAACACAGAGAAGCAATAAATAAAATTAAGATTGGAATTATTTTTTAAATGTTTTTAGTAAAATTTAAATCTTGTTGTACATGTACTTAGCTAGAAGTATATATTGGTTATTGGCAAAATATATACTGTTTAAGGAAAATAATAATTATTAAATCTCAAAGAATACTTCAAAGCAATTTTATAATTTATTCATTGTATTGTAGCTTATCTGTTTCAGACTCCTATCTTCAATAGTTTCTGAGAACATAGAGTGGAAATTATAGATGTGGGAAAAAATAAAAATTCTTAATAATTCCTGACAGCAAGTATTTTTTTCATATTCAGGAAAAGCTATAAGAGATATCAGCAATGCATGTTCTATTTGAAAATTGTGCAACAAATATATTTAATAGAAATTGTCATTCTTATACAGTATTCTGGGTCTTATATTTCCTTCAATTATTATAATTATAATACATAGTGAAAACCGCTTTTACTATTATTGCAAGTCATCATGGATCACTTCTAATTTTATATCATGCTAATACGCATAGATATCTATTGAAATATTCAAGAAAATCCCGTTTCTCTCTAATAGTATCTTGTTTGTTTTGTTTTTACTTTTACACGGTACTAATGTTAAAATTTTACTAAACCCTAACTAAGACGTTCCGAAATCATGAATCATATTAAGATGCATGAAACATATGGAGATAACGAACAGTATTCAAGATAAAAAGTCCATTAAACAATACAAAATAGAAGCAGAGCAAACACGGATCTCCAAAACATCGGAGATGAGATCAGGTGCCATGGAGGAGTGAGCATCCCCTGCCGACCGATCACACCCGCCCTGTGCTCTTTTTCATGATCGGGAAATAACGGAAATATCCGTCGTCGATTCAGTATATAAACAATGGACTAACAATTTGTATGAAAAATGTCAGTCAGCATTTGACTCAATGATAAAATTGTATTTGCTGACAAGGTCATTGTATCGACCATAGAATAGGATATATCGTATCGACTTAAGAATGATTACCATTGTTAATTAACAATACGTCGACTATATATCGAAATGTCGAGTGTTTTCTTTTTTTTCACGTAGAAGATTTTGCACAAATTCTGCTTTATATGAATACAAAAAGGGGTATGCTAATAACGGGGCGCAATTGGCGCAATTGGTACCCATGGGAATTTCAATAGACTGTTGGAAGACCTGGTTTCTAAAAACAACATAGATATTGTCAGTCAGAAACACAAGTATCTTTTTGATGTCAACTTCAGAATATATGTACTTGTGTGTACAATCAGAATATTTTTTACAAAATAATTTTGCAAATGACCAATTACAAGGTGAGTAAATTTACGAGTTCTATTTTTATTGAAAAAGCAGCTGACAAGGATATCAACAAGCTAATTCAGAGAATTTGTGTCCCCCGCTTAGAGAAAAAGTAAACCATGCGCAGTTCGGGCGGAAGGTTGGGGGGTCGGATCTCCCTGACTGAATTTGTAGAATTATTAATGTATACTGAAGCAAATAAAATATGCCAATATGGAAATCAAGATTTGATTGCTTATTCTTTATTATGTGTTTAGAAGATTCTTTTATATGGATGATTCTTCACACTGTATTGATGATTTATGAGTTTGTACAAGCGAGACCTCATAAATTTTTCATTTTACTTGCTGAATACTATCATTTAGTAAAAAAAAAAATTATTTCAGAGTAAAAGAAAAAAATAGATCATCTGGAATTCAAACCTGGGACATCTCACACGTGAAGCGAGAGACATACCACTAGACCACGGAACCGCTTGCAACTTGCGAAAATTATATGCAACAAGCTTACACAGAGAATTTGTGTCCCCCGCTTAGGGAAAAAGTAAACCATGCGCAGTTCGGGGGTTGGTAGGGGGGTCGAATCCCCTTGACTGAGTTTGTAGAATTATTAAATGTATACTGAAGCAAATAAAATATGCCAATATGGATATAAAGGTTTGATTGATTATTCTTTATTATGTGTGTAGAAGATTCTATTTATATGGAATATTTATTTAGTAAAAAAAAAGTATTTCGAAAAAAAACTGGAACATCCGGGATGCGAACCCTGGCCCTCTCGCATGTGAAGCGAGAGACATATCACTAGACCACGGAGCCGCTTTAATATGGCGCAAATTATAAAGAAACATTAAGTCACATACATTTATATATTCACGTTCGATATATTGTCAAAATTTAACACAATGCATGGTGTCTAATTTAACCTTTATTAAACAGTTCTAATAGATGTTATAAGAATATAAAGTCCGCCGAGAACCAGTTTTATACGTTATAACTCTCCTTCATGCCCCTTGTGCTAAAAATAGCGACATGTAATACAATAAATACTAATAAAACAAACAGGCGGGACACTTTGAGAGGAAAGAGAGAGGTCCTAGGAACTTGAGGAAAGGAGAGGAAAGAAAGGAGAGGTCCTTGGTATAAAATTACATTGCAAAAGCTCAAATTCCTCTTGAAATATCGCCCGAAAACAATAGTGTTACAAACAAACAGAATGTATGCATTTATGACCTTGAACTGTGACCTAAAAATCAATAGGGGTCTTCCTTAAGCCACAGTGAGTTGTTATGTAAAATTTCATTGCAAAAGCTCAAAGGGTTCTTGAGATATCGCGCGGAAACGAAAGTGTTATAACAGACAGAATTTGCGAATTTATTACCTTGACCTTTGACCTTTTGACCTCAAAATCAAATGGGGTCTTATTTAGTCCATAGGGAGTTGCTAAGTAAAATTTCATTGCAAAAGCTCAAAGGGTTCTAGAGATATCGTGTGGAAACGAAAGCGTTACAGACAGACAGAAAGACGGACGGACGGACAGACGGACGAACGGACAGACCCAAATTAATATCCCCCACTTTTCAAGCGGGGGACAATAATATATTCCGTTTTCCGTTCCGTTCCGCTTTCCGTTCCGTTTTCCGTTCCGCGTTTTAGCAACAACCTGCAATTTTCACGGCGATTTAAAAAAAAATTACAACGCCGTATGCCTCCGTGTGGACGCAGCTTGGTGTGACAAGGCCTTAAGGTAAGACGACATGCCCTTCAAAAAATATAATTTTTCCGAAGAATTTGTCATTGAAGTAAAGGTAATTGATTAAGTATCGTAAAAAAAATTTAAGGGTATACCTTACCAGGCATTTGGACAAGATACTACAGGGTCATATTTTTATATAACCGGGTTATCTTCTGATTGGCGTTTATCACAATTTTTGGTGTACTTATGTTAAAAAATATTTTGAAAACAATGTAGAGATCAGAAGAGAATTACAAATTTGAATGATTTTTTGTAAAATACCAAGAGATAGAAAACATAAATCTTAGGAACTTGTCGTCTGACCTTAAATGAGAATAAAGTATGGGACTTACTTTTTGTCATATCTTAAATATTTAAAGACCATTTTGAAGTAAACGATACGAGGGGTGATTAAAAAGTTTGCGACCTATCTCTATATTTACCAAACTACAATTCAGATCAGAATGAAATTTTGCACACCTTTTGTCATGCACATGTTCTATAAATAGCATATGAAAAATAATGATTTTCTCCATAATTGTGACGTCACAATGTGAAAATGACGTCAATATGTAGGTGCCTCGAGACGAAAAAATGGTTGTAACAGTCTTACTCGATCACCGAAAGGCTTATAAAGTTTAACGAATAACTTGGGAATTCCTTTGAAATGAAGTGTCTTATAATATTTGTACAAGGTATATGAAGACAGTAGAATTTCTAGACTTTTAATTCTAAACTGGATCGACTGTTAAAGTAAAGGGAGGGAAATGGTTAACAATGACGTTTGTTTTGAACCCAGCGAAGGCAAGCTGGGAAAGAAATGTGTCCCTTGTTGGGCAATTTGTTATGAAAGATCGCAAAGTTTCAAATACTGAAATAGAAAAAAAAGTTGTATGTCTTAACAATGATATTATTATTAAATCCCTAAAACACCGTTCACTTTAGACTCTAAACATATTCGATATAATGAAAAGAAGGCCCCTATACTATATATCCGTATCGAAGAAACGAAGTTCCTAAGACAAATGACTATGGTTGTGGTTTTCAGCATGCTCTTTCTTTGGAAGAATATCCAATCTTTTTTTAAAGAGATTTGGTCATCTCTGACAAATGGACTAGTACTGCTCTTGTTATAAAAAAAAAGTACTTGCATTGTAAGAAATATAAGGCTCGGGAAAATATTTTAGCGTCTAAGAACAGAGTGCTTCACGGCATGTAACGTGACTGCCTGGATCACATGATTCGCGCATGAGCAGAACGGTGGCAGATATGCATAAAGTCAGAGAGGGCTACTTAAAAAAAAATAATGAACTCTGAAACCTTATTTTATTTTTATTTTTTTATGGAAGTTGTTCAATTTGTTCCCGAACTTTTTGATCACTCCTCATATTTAAGGGAATTAATATTTATATGATTTTTAAATATTTGATCAATTTTCTAACTTTAATTGGCGATCTTTCATAACAAATTGATCAAATAAAGACACATCTCTTACCCAGCTTGCTTTCACTGAGCTACAGAACAAATAATATTTTTGGGCGACTCCTTTCCGTCACTAAAATTATTCATCCAATTAATGATTAAATTTTAGGCAAGTCTTTTGTCTTTATAAACAGTGTACAAATTATAATATTCTATAACAAAGGAATTTTCAAGATATACGTTAAACTTAAGTACAGGTCTC